GCCGGTCTGCCGCATTTTCGTTCCGTTCATTAACCCGGGCGAAACGCGTCCAGCCAGATGCTTTCTCGACTATGAGTTTATTTGACACTAATCGCTTTTTTATAGTTTTTCTATTGGAACTGTTATTCAATTTAAAACAGTTTATAAATTATGAATGACTATTTTGATTTATTGATGTCGGAAGGCCGGTTGAGTGAAATATTTATAATCGTATGTAGTAATTGTACGACATATATAATGCTAAAGTTTGATGGTTTACTAAACACTTTATTCACTAGTATGACACAAATACAGATTGAATACAATAGGAAAAATAAAACATTTTTTGTCGTAGCAGTGAAAGAGCGCTGCCTCAACATATGCCTCAGGTCCCTAAGGCGCTGGCTTTCAGAACCAAGGAGAGGGACTAAGTACAAAAAAAAACAAAATACAAATGAACTTGTACAAGTACATTACAATTTAGTTACGACAAAGAACCAGGTAACACAACTCATTTGTAGCATATAACGCGTACAGAGAATTTCCTACGATTCCTGCACTAGGCAACGCCTGTCTCGCGGGTAATCGATAAAAACATTGTTACTGTTAAAAAGAATAACGCCAAATCAAGGAGAATTTTGTTATTATTTTTTTTTAATTGTACATATTATGATCAAAAATTATTATTATATAATACATTATTTTATTTTATATTATCATATTTTTATATTATTATATTAGCTTATATATACATTGTATAATGTATAATATTCATTCTATTTTTAATTCAATACCAATTGCCGTTATAAAAGATGAGTGTGTGTGTTTATGGCAAGTCTAGAAGTTGTTTGTAATAAAAAAATAAATACACGAAATATCTATGAAAAACATCGATTTGGACATTTTTGATCCAAGATCCAGAGTGTTTAGACGAGTAGTAAAGCAACTTGTACTTGTATAGATTTTCACCCATTCACTTGACGCTTTAGTGTTAAGTAAATAAGTAAATTAACAGCAAATTATGTAGTTCTTTCTTGTTACTATAGATTGATGTGTCAACATAAGTAGGGTTCTCTCTATGTATCTAGTACAGAACATTGTTATATCATATTTAATTTGTATCAATGTAATTTGAATGTTATCTGTTTTGTTGTCTATGTAATAAAATGAAAGTTGTAGTAAACTAGGACTGAAATTGTTAATTAAAACAATGAATGTAATAAAGTGTGAATAGTGCATCCAAAATTACCTATTCCGTATGTAAATGCATGTGTGGATATGATTATATAAGACTACGCGTAGCGTGTAAGTGAAAATTATGATAACAATATTTTTTTTTTTTTTTTTATACCTGACAGGCAAATGACTCCACTCCACCTGATGTTAAGTGGAAAGTGGTATATATATTGTAAACCTTTTAATAACAAACATACATAATGGCTGAATTATGTGTCTACTAAATATATACTAATACTATACTAAATATTTTAAATATAGAAGAATAAAAATAAACGTTATCGGCATTAACAAATTACGAATATTTTGCCGAATGCCGAGATATATAAAAATATTTAAAAGCAGCGATAAATCTTTATTTGTCATTTAAGTACAGACTGTCACCTTACCTATTTATACCGCCAAGCATGTAAGCATTACTGCGTTTCGGTTTTGAAGAGTAACCCGGTAAAACTATAGGCATATGGGACTTGTTAACTTTAAGGTTCAAAGACTTGTCCTTCAAATCTTTGCAACTTAAAGCTACAGTGCACTGCAGCTGTTATGGGCGTGTCGTTACTATTAATACCATAAAAAAGAGAAAAAAATTATAATCAATAAATTATTATTTTGAGCTCCAATCAAAGTAAGGATAGCCAGTGTTTTAAAATGTCAAAACCAGAAATGCAACTTCCATTATGACTTTTAAAAATAGAATCCAGGCTGTCTACTATGAATTACTGTCGTTACGAATCTCTAGGTAGCTTTGGTCCTCTAGAACTGTGACTTGAAATATAGATACTTCCTTTATTATAATTTTTATAATATGTATATTTAACTTTTACTGCCTCCGTGTTACCATGCTAGTCTGCCAGAGGTCCCGGGTTCGATTCCTGAGCTAAGAAAAATACTTGCATGGCCTACATTAATTTCTCTCGTGTGTTAGGGTGTAGTTTGTGGTTGTCTATGTGTGTCCATGGCATCCGCGATGCAGGGTTTCCCTAGTGCAGGGCCATAAATCTGTGCGTTGTTTATTAAATTACAAAATAAATGTGTTCTTTATTTAATACTAAATTAATTTCAATGTTATTCAAACAAGTTTTAATATAAATAGTACAAAAGTAAAGCTTGTATGTGAAAAATATTCGGCAAAAGAAAGCCGAATATTTCACAATAACCGAAAACTTTCTATACGTCACTGATGGCTTATTACACTTTTTGTGTTAACGCGTCATGGGGTTAAAGTACGCGAGAATCATTGGGTTAGTTAAGTTATATAAGTAAGTAGTTAGATATTAATATAATCACAGACCTAGGTGCAACTAATTTTAAAATCACATACATACAGCTTATAACTTTAACAAACAAGTTTGCTGTCTATAAATATATTTTTTTTTACAGAATAAATATTTTTGTACTTTACTAAGGCTTTAAGCCTTATTCCTTTTTTTATTGTTTTTCACAAAATGTGTCTATCTTTTTTCAAATTTTGTTTTTTGTTTCTTTATTTTATTCATAAAATTCGGGAAGCATAATATTATTAAATAAATATGGCTGTTTACCTAAATAAAAGCAAAAGATCATAAAATAAAGTTGTATTCATAGGAGGTATCGAATTGATGCTCTTTTTAGAGTGTATCCTTGCCTAACAGCAGGGCATAACAGTGCCGTTGTAGGCGGAATATTGATTCCCTATTAAGAGCAGCGGTCAGTCTTTTCTAAACACAATTCTTAGTTCGATTTAGATTTTTTTTATTTCAAATGGAGCAATTGTATAAAACACAAAACGCTTTTTTTTCTTTGTTGTAATTGTGGGTATACATACATAGGCATCTATTTTACTTTCTCAGCTATCCCAAGGCCTTAAAGATGAATTTAGATTTCTTTCTATAGGGAAGGCAGTATTTCATGGCAATAGCGCAATCAGCCGGAAAATAATCAGGTTCAAAAACCGGCAAACGAAACGATAACATATTTCGTTATAGGCATTTAGGCAGTCAAAACATAGTATTTTATTCAAATTCTTTATTAACTCAAATTTAAAAAATTAAGTAATTTACGAATGTCTTTTATTCATTTTTATAGTGGCCACGTAAGACACAAAAGGCTTTTTAAGGATTTCAAATAACGAGGTTATCTTTCTTTAATACCCATAGATTACTCGAAACTCCACTCTACAGTGTGGTCATTTAGAGGTAGTAGAGTTCCTTGTGAATGAGTTCGTTTCTGTCGACAAACACTAATGTCAGCATTACTGTGTTGCGGTTTCGAAGGGTGCTGGTGAAATTACAGGCACATGGGACTTTTTTTTTTTTATTTATTTGAGACACAATAAAAACTTAAATGTAATTTTTTTGCAGTAAATATGTAGCGATTGTGTCACCAATACCGTCAACCACTAGTTACTACAAAAAACTGAGAAGTGGTGATGCATTTCTAATAAACTATTGAAGAATAAATAATTAATAAATAGTTATTATGTACAATACTAAACAAATTAAACCTTGATACAAAAACAATAATAATAATTACTACATAAGTACACATGGGTTATACACGTAACGAGTTATATTGTATGACACAAGATTCCAAGGCTTAACATAAAAGGAAAAGAAAAATAATAATTGAGCAGTAAAAGCCTTCATACATCTCTAAGCATGTTCAAAAAACTTGTCAACTTATGTCTCAGAGTGACGGGCGCATTGGCAGTGCCCCTCAGATCTTTGCGATTTAAAGCTCTGAGTGGCACTACAACTGTTATGGCCAGGCGTGTTGCTTACCATCAGGCGCACGAATTGTTCTTCCCGTCACTAGAATAAAAATGACTCTTGGTTTTGTAGATTTCTTAATACTGTTTAATTAAGCGACTTCTTCTTTTCGTATCGATGGCATACACCACAGACCATACACTGTAATGTTTGCCATTAGTTCAGAAAGGATTTTCCAGTCCGCGTAAGGTACGTATTGAGTGACGATTTGCGAAGGGTTGCTAGCAGCAGATGGATGCAACGACCTGAGGACCGTGCGAAATGGCGCGCATTGGGAGAGGCCTATGTCCAGTAGTGGACGACGATAAGCTGTTGATGATGATGATGTAAGGTACTCGCCCAGGGTGCGTCAGACGTACAGGATAGGAATGGATATATAAAGACTATATTCCTGAGATTTAAAACATCAGTTTCTAATTCGAAAATGCCAAACAATCGCCGAGATTCCCAATATTTTCTAGAGCGAAAAAACGCACGCACACATTCATAGCCCCGCACTAAGGAAACTCTGTATCGCGAGTGCCATGGACACACATAGACAACCACAAGTTACACCCAAACTCAGAGAATATAAATGTAGGCCTTACAAATACTTTTTTCCCGGCCCAGGAATCAAACCCGTGGCAGTCCGGCGTTTGGAGGCTGTTTTCTTCAGTGAAAGTCTTAGTCAATGGGCAATTAATATGTCAATGGCCATAATCCAAAAATCCGTGACATTGTGTCATTATCGTTAGCATTGGCTTCAATAGGCTTTCACTGGTCCGTAGGTAGCATTTGTCATTGCTTCCATTGTTTTATGATTGATAATCGCGTGCAGATTAACAACGGAACGTGGTTGGTGGTTTAACGCACATAAATTTCGCTTAAGTGCTCTGTTGAAATTAATTAGATGCTTAGATATAAAAGTGCCTGCCTGAGAACTGACGTAAAGAAATGTAAAATAGATTTCTCACAGATGGCGCCAAGGCAAAAACACTCTGCAACAAGCACATAGAAAAATTCGTAAAGTCCGCTAGTTCGCTCTGTGGCTTAGTTGGCATGGCGTCCGGCATGGTTTGCCGGAAGATGTTGGTTCGAATCCAGTTTTTCTCAGTGTACGATCCTAACAAACTAGTGGAGTAATTTCACATAATCTCAGTACAGAGTACTAAAAAAAACGACTTCAAAAGTACGTGGAATTACGTCTATTTGCTAAGTTTTATTGAAATATCCCCTAGTCCCACGAGTTCGTTTGGTAGCCACAAGTCGTGCGCCTGGTGATAAGCCACATGCCTGCCCATAACAGTTGCAGTGTTACTCAGAGCTTTAAATCATAAAGACCTGGGGGCACTGCCACTGCTCCCGTCACCCTAAGACTTAAGTTGACAAGTCTCATGTGCCTTCAATTTCACCAGCACCCTTACCCTTCACAACCGGAACACAGTAATATGACCATTACTACTTGGCAGTAGAAATATGTAAGGTGGCAGAACTTCCCTGGACGAGCTCTTTCACAGGGAGCTCTACTTCTACTAAAATAGACAATTAAAATATTAGTAGTTATTTTGAGCTCCAATCAAAATAAGAATAGCCCATGGTTACCATGTTAAAATGTCAAACCTTTCTTTACCCGATCTTTACGATTTAAAACTCTGAGTGGCACTGCAACTGCTATGGATAGGCGCGTCGCTTACCACCAGATTCACGATTCGTGCTGTCACTTGATATCACAAAAAAACAACACTATATTATCAGAAGACTAATGTAGAACATCATATGTTCTCAAAGTTAAAAAAAACCTGTTTAAAAGTAATAGAGATCGAAAATACATCTTTGTAGCATCTCACGGTGTGGGAGGCTGCAATATTGCTCCGGTCATTGAACCACCGACAAATTTAGGTGCTTAAGTTCCGTTTGGTAATCTCGATTTGAATACAGTGATTCATGTGCTCCTTTTCTGCACCTTGGTAGCCTAAATGAGGAGTTCCTGGGTTCATTTCTGGTTAGGATCAATTTCGGAAGCGAACTTTTATAAATTGCTTCTGGTTTGAGTAGTGCCCGGGAGTTCTTTTAATTCTGGTACAAGAAAGTCCCTAGTTTGAGACCCGGTAAATGTACTGCAACAACCCAGAGCAACGTGCAACATTTAAGTCGATCTGGTCGCAAAGCTTCAGAGATGAGTATATGGCTTCCAAACAAAAATTGTCAACGATCCTGGTCAGGTTCTATCGAGACCAAAAATGTTCCAATATAAAGAATACAAGATGGCCACCATACTGCAACTATCATCTACCCTGCTCCCTCCTTCCCAACGAAGCTTCATGTTTTCATCACCTTTTATACATTCCGATGCAGGGCACGGGTCTCCTCTCGTGAAATTTTAGGCCATAGTCGCGTGGCGACGCTGGCTCTATACAGGGTAAATTTCAATTAAATTCCGAAAAAACACAGCGGTTTAAAAACCCATGGCCTCTGCTTAAACGGCGATTGGTATTAACTTATTAGATTATAGATTGGTATTAAAATGAAAATTTAAAGTTTTTAATTATCCCCTTTTATATTGTAACTTAATCACAAGTTACTTAGTAATTTTATAGTTAATATTATGTCGTTATCGGATCGTTTAGTTACGCGGGATGTAAAGTTAGTAAGCTTAAAAGCTTATTTTTAACCTAATGGAGACTAGATAAGTAAATTGTACCACATAAAACTCCGTTTAATTACAGTCTTAAACGATTAACACATTGCTTTAAAGAAGCCTTTAAAGGTTTTTTCGCAATATTACAATGTTATGGAATTGTAGTTTCAGTTCAGTCTGAGATAGAACTGTATGCTATACGAAGTGTTAATAGGATGCATTGCAGCTTCAAGGGTTCCGCTGTAGTCATCATCATGAATGTAGTAATAAGCTATGAGTTGTATTAAGGCGAGATGTCTACGGGGGGACCGCCCCTCGCAACCCGTGCGCTTAAAGTTAATATGAATAACAAGAATAGGTGGAGAAAATTTGACACAGATCCGACGTCGACGAGCGCCCGATGGCGACTGACGGAGCAGCGGGCGGCGCGGCGCGTCTTTAAGCCGCGTTTAATGTGTGTTTATAACTACCAGGGCTTCAATTAAAAACCAAAGTATTGCAGGTTATACGTAATGAGAAATATCTGCATGAAAAAAAATTATGTGCTATGTTACGTATTTCGTAAATAATTGGTTTTCCAATTTTATTTTAGCCTATTTTCTGGATTTTATATGACTGCCTCTGTGGTTGATTTGCTTGCACACCGGTTTTCATGGTGTCGCCATCTCTGAGGTCCTGGGTTCGATCCTCGGCCGGGACATTGTAGAAACTAACTTTTCTATATTTCTTTCTTTGTTTCCGATTTCCATTATACAAGCGCTTTTAACTTTAGTTACTAACTTTGGGTTCAGAACAACGTATGTGATGTTGGTTAATATTTAATATTTAATACATATATATTATTTACACTAGATAACGTTTTCAGTAAAATGTAAATGAGGTACTTAGAATTCATTTGTTTAAACTATACCCCATAATATGGTTGTTTGACATTAATAGTAAACTTCCTGTTCAATAACTAATACGATCTCTGTCAACCGTTAGCATGAGAACTGTAAAGTGCTCGAAACGTAGATATGTTTGAAAAAAGAAATACATGTTTTTAGATTTCAAAAAAAAAAAGTTTCATTTGCAAAGTATAGGAATTCATTGGCATTGTTAGGCCCTTTTACAAATCACACAGATACAGTGCTGCTATAAAGTTCTATTCAAGTTATATAGAAAACTAAAATGTGTAAAACTAAATAAATTAGCACATTCTTTAGACAATGTCCTTAGGTGTATCCTATATATTTTGTAAGACCATTTATTTAATGGTATATACCTAAACCATTTGATCTAGAAAAATAGTTTTTCCCGCTTCTCAACCGGAGACTCGTCTTAATGTAAATCCTACCTATTTAATGCTACTTACTTTGCATTTCTGTTAAGGTTTAGTTTTATTTATTTGGTATTTAATTTGTATTTATGGAACCCTCCTTTTTAGGACTAAACTATATTTATTACTACCTATTACTCCGGTTATTTATTTTGAATTCTTGAACATACTTTTAAGTTTTTTGTAATTGGAAGAGGCTGTTATAATTATTATCTTGTGCATAATTAATAAATATATTTTGCGATTCTCTCCTCTGTTTTTGTTAGATGACATTTTTTATTTTTAAATGAGAGAAGGGATTAGGAGACCACTTGCCATTTTCGTTAATACGCCATTTTCGTCAACTGGTAAATTTCTGTAATTTATCTATGCCATCTCAATATTTAACTCATCAATTTGCCCAATTCGTCATTTTCTCTGATCAGTCATTTTCGGCAACTGGACAGTATACATAATGTACAGTCAGGGAAAATATTTTACATATGTTTTCGGGTCGAAGATTCAATTTCAAGAATCGATGAATAATGTATGATATGATTTTTTTTCTTTATATATTACTTACAAAAGTAATAAATCCCGCGGGGACCCAATTCTGTTCATATAATTTAATCCTTAGAATAATAACGCATAGAAACCTAGTCCGCACACGCTAAGTGAGGCAAATTGAAGCGCGCCTAAAGGGCCTACACGAGCGGCCGGGCCGTCAGTGCTCAAGGTCAACTTGCACCACGAACAGATCAAGAATTTTAGCTAAAAATGACGAAATGTGCGGTAAATGAGTGTAAAAATACGTCAGACAAACATAAAATAGATACTAACATCACATTCCACAAGGAAGTAACGCGTTTCAACTTGTATTTTTATATAAATATTCACGAAAACCGAAAATTAACCTACTACTAAAACTAGCCTACATGAATTTGATTTTTGCCTCACTTGTGACAGTTCGTTTGATATGAAACTATCATTCTGTGCATTATTGTTCTAAGATTTAATCCTAGTTTTATTTTCTGGTATTTAAGCTCTTATTATATTGTATTTTTATATCTATATATTTTTTAAATCATGTGACGGGACGAACAAGTCGTGCGCCTGATGGTAAGCTACACGCCTGTCCATAACAGTTGCAGTGCCATTCAGATTTCATTTCAGAGCTTTAAATCGCAAAGATCTGACAGGCATTGCCACTATGCCTGTCACCCTGAGACTTAAGTTGACAAGCCTCTTGTGCCTGTAATTTCACTAGCACCCTTACCTTTCAAAACCAGACACACAGTAATGCTGACATTGCTGCTTAGCGGCAGAAATAGGTAAGGTGGCAGTACTTCCCTGGACGAACTCTTTCACCAGGAGCTCTACTTTATACCTTACCTGTATATATAATAAAATTAGAATTAGTTATTTATAATTCATAATTAATCTTCAACCCTTTTTGTTGTTCCTAGGATAAGCAACGACCGCCGATCTACAATCCTGAGGACTATGCGACTTCCCTCAAGAAATGGGGGAAGAAAACGAGCGGGCAGAGTCTCTATGAGCTGGAGGGGGGTCAGGACTCTACCAAAGCCAGGACATTGCCCAACCAGGGTAGTAAGGACTTTAGGTACGTGTTGGAAATAAGTTACTACGCCTATAGTAATAAGACTCAAAATTGCGTCATGCCAAGTTTCTATAGTGCCACTGTAAAAATAACTACTACCACCATGACTGCCACGCGGAGGTCCCAGGTTCGATTCCCGGGCCGGGAGAAATATTTGTATGGCCTACATTTATTTCTCTCGTGAGTTTGGGTGTAATTTGTGGTTGTCTATGTGTGTGTCCATGGAACCCGCAACACAGGGTTTCCCTAGTGCGGGGCTATGTTGAGGGTGTGCGTTATTATTATTATAACTACTGGTACCGAGGGAGGTTACCACTATAGGCGTTTCAACTCATGCAAAATTGAACCCAAAATGCTTGAAGGTATTGTAGAATTTACTGTGCTTTTTTTTCGATTACTGGTTTTAAACAACACACGCTTGAGCACCGCTGTTTTAAATTTTTAATTTAAGATTTTTTTTAAAGATACCTAGCCTGAGATCTAAAGTCAATTTTAATAAAATTGTCCTCAAACTTTGCAAATAGATTTTAATACCTAATTATATAATTATTGCATACAATACTTTTTCTACGAGTAAATAAAATAATGAACAACAACCAACATTTAATGTATATTTTGCAATCCATGACAACAAACGCAATTTAAAAAAAATTAATCCCTTTAATAGGTTAGGCAAATGTTCCACCATACAGTCTCTTCATATAACCAAAGAGATAGAATAGAACTGGCCAAGTACCGCATATATTTTCACTTCCATCCTCTAAGATTTTCACAAATCATTTTTTTTATAAAGATTTACGGCCCGATTGCAAGAGTTTTAAGCCTATTTAACCAATCAGGAGGCACTATAAAGTTTGAGTAGTGTCCTAATTGATATTTTAATTAGCAAAATACGACGTTCTTTTTTTGAAACTCATTAATTCTCTAAACAAACAAAAAACTCATTTTTCGGCTTAGTGGCGAGTACCATAGACAATAGAATTTTGATTCCGAACTAAAAAGAACGCCTGTAAGCATTGACTTACAATTATATGGACGTCGGGTCCGCACTAAAAAGTGTCCGAACTTATAAGGCGTTAAAATCGTATTCAGAGCGTCATTCACGCTTTAGTCTTCGTTTGTTCGACTGACAGCGAAGCAAGCAAAATTAGACAGTACTGCGATGATATTACAATTTAAATTCAACGTTTAAGCTTTTTCATATTCCTTTACATGTCACTACATTTAAATAGGTTGACTTGGGACATTTTTTTCGTGGTTTTTGTATTAGACCCGTCGTCCATTTATTTGTAAGTCAATGCCTGTAAGATACGGTTTATGAAATTAAAATTAACACAGTTCAAAGCACAGGAGTTTATTTTTTCCATCCTCTAAGACAGGAGTAGAAAAAAATGTTTATTGAAGTACAGTCGGCATTAGCTGCAAACTAACGTCGGGACCTGCTTATTAAGTAAGTTAACACCTGTGTCTGGAGGCATCGCTCTTACTTAACTCAGAGGTAATCGTAATTTTAATAGGTCCGAATTCAAACAAAATACCATAAACAAAATAAAAATATTTAAAATTAAAATTAGATCCTATAAACACGACTAAAATGAACCGAGTGTACGGGTCAACGTACATTATTGTGCAACTGACAATATGCAACGTCGCACCTTACATTGTGCACGTGTACAATCCGGCTCGAAGGACCAACATGTACGAGCTGCTTGTCTCGTACAGTAATATGTCAGAATATGTCAGGTGATATCAGCGAGATGATGCAGGGAGATGTCAAAGATGCTGTAGAAATAATATTCGACCGATACCACGGAGTAACTTTATTGTACTGAAAATTATAATTTATACATTTTGCACGTGCACAATGTAGGGTGCGACGTCGCATATTGTCAGTTGCACAATAATGTACGTTGACCCGTACACCGAGAGTGTGTATATGAGCGTGTGCTTGTCAGTTTGTGTGTGTGTAGTAACTAAGTAACTAAGTAAAATACTTTTCTTTTCCAATGGACGGTGTACGTAACGAAAATCATAATTAAAACATTTTGCTTGCATAATCCCCAGATGCTGAGACATATATTCATTGGTGAAACAAATTAAATAGAGCATAATAGAAACATTCAAAATTCAAAATAAAATAGCAATTGTAAATTATTTCGAAACCAAATAGCAATTGTAATAATTTACAATTGCTATTTTGTTTTGGTTGTTTGTTTCTGTTATCTTATTTTCTATATTTATTTGTGATTTTGAATACCTTTGAAATAAATTCGATTTTGTTTTGCATTTTATCATCAATTAAATGATAATCAATATAAATTATTTTAATCTTTTTCAGAAACCCATGCTTAATTGTGGGCGAAGAGATGAGCTTGCGGCAATTCGGCACACCGAGTGAGCTACTCACCAAACTGAGAGCTGATTTAAGGCTCTCTTTTCCCAGGTAACTGTTGTTTTACGTTTTGCCTGTGGTTACATTGCCCTTTAAATGAATTTGTGATTTTGTGAAGACAACTCTAAAGTTAATTTTTATTCCTCGTATTAATGTTATATTTGTTTACTATTCTTCTTATAAATTACATTTTCATAAATGAGTATGACGCTAGTGTAAGAATATCTCAAAGACACTCTGGGGCCCAGATCCGTCCAAACGAAATACCTATTGTTCTTTTAGAGTTATTGAACCTTAGAAATATGTTAAACTAACCAATAAGGAATTGTGACAGAGTACCGTTTTGTTCACTTGTAGGTGTTATAAAATTCGATTGATGCTTGCCCTCCGTGCGTCAACAATGTTAACAGTTAACACAGGTTAAATCCTTTCGTCGTGTCTAGAATCTAGATGTTACTTGAGTCACCAATCTATCTCTAACTACTACAACATTTTTTCCGATATATGTATATTAAGAGGTATTATTATTATTATTATTTATGAAACTATAAATGTTAAAGAATATAAATAGACTAGGTATGTGTATCTTTTAGGGTATGATTTTTCCATGAAGTGACAACCCTAAATCATTTATTAATTGCATCATAATGTACACATAGGTAAAGATTTTATATTACTTAAGAAAGAGGCGTTATAGAATTTCTTTGCTTACTTTTTCTTTAAAAAAAACTATAAAATATTTTTACTACAGTTACAAAAAATACATAAGATAATAGATATACACACATATATTATGTGTGTGTGTGTGTGTGTGTGTGTGTGTGTGTGTGTGTGTGTTTGTTTGTATGTGTGTGTTATAGATATATATATATATATAATAACGGCGTGGTATTAAAATAGTTGATTGCTGATTATCGAGAGTATTTAGTTTATTCGCTAAATCAATGACTATAGTTATTATTTAGAGCGGGTAACACCGAATCAAGTTGTAAGTGTCAGTTTTTCGGCGGGAAAGAAGTTTGACAGATCGTCGGTTGTGTGATTGCACCATAAAGGATGAAAAAAAATAAAATTGCACTTACAAACCCATTGCCTCTAAATTTAACTATTTTGACGCTATTATTCAAGGTAACAAGAATAAGTTAACAGATGACAAAACTACTATAAACAAAGTAATAAAACTATCTTTTAATTGAATACTACTATCTAACCTTAGAATAATAACGCATAGAAGGATAGTTTCATATCAAACGAACTGTCACAAGTGAGGCAAAAACCAAATTCATGTAGGCGTAAGCAACTTGTAACTACGCTCGTCGGCACGCACACAAATATACAAATAATGATGCCATGGAATAACATTTCCCTCAAAAGTGGGGAAATTGTATCTTGCTTAACTCATCATTAAGTTAAAGGTGCCTACAGATTTGCCCGACAATGTCGATCAGGTGCCTACAGATATGCTCGGTTTTGTCGATGAAAAACGAATATAGCACTTATTTGTAAATCCAAGATGGCGGACACGATTTTTCAAAATATGCTATATGGGTATCCTTTTCGAGGTATTTGGGGATGCTCATTACGAATATGGCACTCATTTCTAAATCCAAGATGGCGGACACGAGTTT